CGACGTGTTACCCCTATATCTGATAGAAAATTGACGAGTTTTGATGAAAGATTTCTGCTTAAAAGTTGGTGTGTGTGTGATTGCTAGCCTTAAGAGGGCTAACAAGGCAGCAATAAAGCGTAGGTAGCGTAAAAGGAAGCGGATATAGAAGCATAGAGTGCTAATAAAGAGAGCTAGAGAGGATCTACTTACTTAGCGTAAGGCTGATTAGCAGATTGCTTATAAAGAGCGTTAGGGAGGAGAGCGATTAGGTGTTAGCCGCCAGGCTTTAGCGCGCTGCAGTAGGTGTAGAGAAACTGGCCACAACTCGCGTACGTGCAAGAAAAATACTCTAGGTACTGCTTAATCTATTATATTAATATATAGTAAAACAACTATATTGTAGTGGAACTACAGGCTTATAGAGGTGCGCAGGTTTGGTGGGGTGCGGCGCTCGCTTGTACGCGGCGCTCGCTTGTAAAACACGTTATTTAAGAAATTATTAAACTTGAAGGTGGCAATGAGTACAAAGAGGGGCGGCGGGACCGATCTACATAGCTTCGGCCCTATTTTCGGCGGTAATCAATGCACCCCTGTCAGCAAGAACTTTTGACAGTCACCTCCGTATAGGGAGCTATAGGGAGACGGTCTGTGCGTAAGTTCTAGAGCTATTGTAGAGTCACAGAATTAGCAATTAATCGTCTAATCGTATCAATATCATGAGGTATATCAAGAAAAATATTGAGCTTGATCAGAGTTCTAATTACTAGCCTCATCCAAGATTGAAAATATGTGTATGAAAAATGACACACGTTGTTTCACTGTTTTGTAAGGTGGATAGAGTAATCGTAGAATTAATACAGGAAGGAAGTGATCAGAGGCAAAGGATTAAGTGAATATGTCAGTAAGTTTGGAATCACACCCTAAACCGCGCTTCCGGCACCAGGGAAGACGTTGAACAGTGATTTGTCGTATTTGACAAGCTCGGGGCACCCAAGCTCTGCAATGATGGGGTCTAGAACAGAGACCAACTTTTCCACAGCAACTAAGATGTTGCCAAACAATCCGCGGAGGATATCGGGAGCACCTTCGCTAGCTGCCTGGAACGCAAGACACATTAGGTTGTTTCCCTCAAGAAGTATCTGCGCATTGAAAACGTTGCCTAAAGATGCGCGTAAAATGTCAGTATATCTCACATATAGTTCCTAGAGAGGGACCACTAGCCTGTCAAGTCGTCAATATCGACACCAGTGAAGGAATTTGGCTGGCCGGTGTTTCCACCAATTCGGATCAGTTCGGGGTGGGCTACTTCAAGCGAAACGGCTTCGGCAGTGAAGGACAGGATGCTGTAATCATCACCAATGACGCGGCGGTACCACTATGATGAGGGTTAGCGATTGTAAGCAGATGTGTTACAATGGGTACTCACGTTTTCAGGAATCCTCTCTTGTCCAGGTGCCCACTTATAGTTACCCTTCTCTCCAGTAACACCCTGGAATGACATAAGCGTCTTTGCATCGAGGTAGCCCTCAGGGTTCTCGGCAGTGTGGTTGGCGAAGAAACGGTAGGTGAATTGATACGTGGCGGGGTTCAAGGCAAGGGCCTGTAGCGGGCCTGAGAAGTAATGACCATTTGTAGCGATAGAGTGCCTCGTGCGGTCAAGGCGGAACGCGGTCATGACGGGAATGTCAATGCCGTTCTTGCCAAGAGGCATAGAGAGGAGCTGGTCGAAATAGGCCAAGTTGAGAGATACGGGGTCGCCACTACGAGTAATGAGTTATTATGAGCATGCTACAAGAGGAAGAAAGTTGAATGACATACGTTGAGTACAAGTCGGATCGCGTGGGCGACCCATCAACCTCGAAGCGGTTGTGTGACGAACTCAGGCCCTGTGGTTCTCCGAGAAGGCCGAGTGATGAGACGGCACCGCCCAGGAGCCCACCAGTCTTAGGTTTACCACCAATCGAAAAAGAGGTGAGATCACCTGCCATGATGGCGGAGTAGACTGCCAGAAATGCGGATAGATCCAAGCCCATACCAAATACTAACGCTGTCAGCACTCTATACATATGAGGGCAAAGGCATGCAAACCCTCATTGGCGGCCGTAGTCATTTGTGTGACTGTGGAGATACCATTTTGGGGAAGGTAACCGTGGTTTGCCATGACATTGATACCAGGACAAGGTCCACGAAGATCATTGGGGCCTGGCGCAATCTGGTAACAAAGTCATTAGGGGGTGCAATTGCGTGTTGTGCATCTCGATAGGGCCACTCACGTATCTATGGTCACCACTGGTACTGATGCGCTGAGCTTCTGCATTGAATGCACGTCCAACATAGGCACCCGATCGCTTGCTCTCTAAATCTCTTGAGATGCTCTCGGCGAGACTGGTGATTTCCCCAAGGGTGGTTTTGCTGATGTCGCCTTTGAGCATGCTCGCAGGAAAGGCAAAGGCCGCCGATGAGAAGAGCGTTGCACTGCATAGCACTGAGACCTTCATGTTTGCAACAACAATACCAGATGTGAAAGAGGGTGAAAGAAGGATGTGAAGCTGCAGCGAGGACGGCCCGGTCAGCAACAGCCAGGGATTTTTCAACTTTTATGGTGGCAAATGAGTGCGGCGCACATGTGGGCCGCTATACTGCTCATCTGAAAATCGTCGATAGAGATGCCAATATGCGATCAGGTACCATTCAGCACAGCCCTAACAGTCCGCTTTACCTACTCCAAATTGTAGGGTGGAGGGCCTGAGCCGGAGAGATCGCCATGTGTGCTCCTTCTGCCCGTGATATGATTGGGTCGGAGGTATAGAGGTTTGCAGATCTTTGCGCGATGCCTTGCATGCAAGGGCCTTAGATCAACCGCGATCCGCTCGCGCAAGCCACAGGTTAGTTCGCTCCTAGATCTGCTACATCTAACGACTCATGTCAGGCAGAACAAGGCGCTCGAGCGTCATGACTGGAGCCTTGAGGCTTGTTTGTGGCTCGTCACGGTGCCTAGCCTCTCTCTGTAATCAACCTGCCGGTAACCATCTATCGGGCCAAGACGTATCCGAGACTAGCGCACCTGGTCTAGCGGACATGATCTCTCTGGGCATGACTAGACAGTCGTGGATTCTACCGCTACAGCGTCTATTCCAGCCCAGAATGATCTCCGTTTCCGAGTATGCAGGCTGCCTTACCCGGCGCGGGCTTCTCAGTAGAGTCGCATGCAAGCTCACACCCCGCGCAGAGAAGCCCGCACTGCACGATTACTTAGCGGCGAACGATGCTTTGATCAGCATTGCCCAACAGCCAAGCCGGTGTTGCCCGATACCCACGTACTACTCCAAGCGTCCCCACAAGCATCTGCCATGGCTGACACTTCACAACTGCCGCACCCTTCTAGTCTACATTGTAGCACACGGCTCTCAGCCGTGTACCCACTAGTCGAGGAAAAGGGTGAATACCGGCCCCTCCCAAGGCGGATGACGTCTATCCGCAACCCTATCCTCAGCGCCGTTCGATATAAACTTGATCCTTGTCCCACGTCGGCGTCGAACCACCATGGCCGCTGTTGGATTGTGACATAGCGCCAAGGAGCATCTCCTTCCTTTGCCTCTCCTTTTCGCTACTTACTCTCGAGTCCAATCCAAATGGCTGCCTTCGAGAGTTGGGTTAGCAACCCGGACGAGAGCCATGGACCGCTTATGTCGGTCGTCACTTGGTCGCTGGTCTCCGTCGCTGCTGCCTTCTTGATCCCTCGGCTTTGTATTCGCCAGCGTCGCGGGAAGTTGTGGCTTGATGATTGCACACTTGTCGTCAGCTGGGTAAGTGCCTCAACATCTCGAAGTAAATAACAGTTGGCTCATACGACAAAGATCTTACTGCTGATCCAAGTCTCCATCAACCAAGTATCTATCAACTTAGGCTATGGAAGACATACACTTGACCGTATGTACATAATACAAACAAGAGTTCTTACATTCTACCACCCGCATTGCTAATCTTTACGCTAGTCGACTTGCGGAATCTTGATACATTGATGTATATTGGCGGGGCGGAACTGACGATATATACCATCGCTATAGCCCTGAGCAAGATCTCTTTCGGACTTACTTTGCTTCGGCTGACGGATGGATGGGTCAGACTCTACGTCTACTTTGCCATCTGTACCCTGGCAATATTTGCAGTCCCTGCTACTATTATGCCATGGGTGCAATGCAAACCACTAGTCAAAACATTTGTCGACTTCATACCGGGCGAGTGCATCGACAAGCACCCCTCTGTTGTGTATGGGCGTTTCCAAGCTGGTGAGCAGACAGCTTCCAAGTCTGTACCTTGATTCCTTAGCTGACTTGCGATGCAGTGTGGTCGGCACTTATGGATGTGTCTCTTGCTATGTTGCCGTGGAAAATCCTTTCGAGCCTGCAAATGCGCACCGCAGAGAAGATCGGTGTATGTGTCGCCATGAGTCTGGGAGTGCTGTGAGTTCATGCATTGCTTGATTGAATGGAAGACCGAGCTAACTTCATCCAAGAGCCGGAGTTACATCAATTATCAGATCTACATACATTGAGGAATTGACAGTACAGGATGTATCATGTAAGACATTGCAAGACATGCACGCATCATTGCTAACAGCCACAGATGAATCCTACAAACCCATTATATGGGCAGTCGCGGAATGCTCCATGGCCATCGTCGCTACCTCAATTCCAGTACTTCGCGTCGTTTTCAAGCATGCGCTCAACTCTGCGATCGAAGGTCGCACGGGCTCGAGTAGATGCAAATAACGAGGCAAATCACGCTCCTACCCTTCCAACGCTGCGAGCTCGGGAAACCGAATGAGAACACGACAATCAAGCAGGAAGACGCCCGAGATGACGGCCAGTGGAGAATGCGGAGAATCTGTCGAGGAAGTATTTGGACGTCGATCGAATGAATCAGAGAACTATGTGGAGATGGATGATCTGGCAGTCGACGAGGAGACTGGGCGTGTCACTACTTCGTCTCCAGAACCTCTGCCAGACCATGCCAAGCGCCATGTACCAAACTGGCCCGTATGAGTTGCCTTGCGGCTAGTGGGCTGCACGCAGAGGATTTCTATATGCTTGTTTCTTCGTAGTAATTGTCAAGATTAGAAAGATACTTACTTACTATCAAAGATGCATATGCTTCTATGTACAGAGGAGGAAAAGGAAAGGAAAGGAAAAGAAAGCAGTGTCCTCCTTGTAAATTGTTTATCTTTTGTACACTGCTACTACTATAGACATGTAAGAAGTCCTTCCGCGTAGCCTCTTACGGTAATGACGCGTAGCCCCCAGAACCAGCCTGTCCACCTATAACATCGTCGCATTCGCAACTTTGGCCCCGAGGTTTGCACGCTGGCCAATCAGCATACGTGACTTTGCACCCCAAACACAATGTCGCGCAACAACTTGTGGTTAGGGAAGAGGCGAGTTTAGTGTGTGTTGGGTTGTGTAAGGAGTGCTATATGACACTGGGCTGTAGGTGCAGGTTGGGGTGTAGCAGATCATCACGGACAAGATTGTACCTTGACCAGCATTGCAACTTCTTTGAGGCTGTACGTTTCGTTTAGAAGTCTGAAGGAGATTCACAATATCTAACCATAGTGCACTAGTATTAGGTGAATGAGGGCAGCGAGAAATGCTACTATCGATGAGACAACTAGTTGAATTGATAGCCAAGCTACACCAAACCAAGGTTTAAAGCGTCGTATTCTATGTACAGGAATGGATTTTGAAGAGGATTATGCATGTACAAAACACAAAGAAGCATTGATTGGGATGTTAGGCAGGGCAGCTGCGACCGTACCCAGTGGAAACGGAGCAGCAATCGGCATCCTATATCAGAGTTAGTATTGTCTTATAAGTAGACAATGATTGTAACTTACACATTGGGCCTTTGTGATTCCTACGTCAGAGCACCATGTTGATGCCCCATTGACATTGCAATTGATATAACCGGCAGGCCAGATGTTCTGTCGATAACACGCGGTTGAACTGCTGTAGCAGCAATCAACGCCTGCATAGCATGAACCGCTCTACAAGGTTTTTAGCTGCAAGGATCTCTCACATGGAATTTACTACTTACTCCTTTTGCCCTGGTCTTTAGGTTGGGGGGTGCTGCAAAAGCAGTGTTGGCAATAATGGCAACAAGGAAGCCAGTAGAGAAGACAGAAAACTGCATCTTGATTTGGAAAGATTATAGTTTGTAGAGACTGTAATTGAAGTAAAGTATATAGTATTTGGATCGTTGAATAAAGCGAATGTAGTCGATAATCTTTTCTGCAGGGTAGAAATCTAACGTATAAATACTCTGTCACCTAGCTGTTCACTGATTCTGCTTAGACACGACTATTGCACTATTAGCGCTTAGCAAAACCAGGACTAAGAATTCAAATGGGTACTTAATTTCGAAGGCAATGCACCATCCTTGTTCGTCGTCTACTAAGAACTGATGTTTGGTTCGAGAGCATGACAATCAATGCTGCCAAGCAGTGCGACCCAGGCTCTATCTACTACTGCATGGACCCAGGAAATTTGGAACCTCTCTAAGTTCCTATTCAGCATCAAGATGAGTAATTTCCTACGAAAAGCCATTAATCTGGTTCTATTTGATACTTCCCTTTGCATGACAGGGGCACAACCCTAAAAGTACTAGAAACGGTCGACAGGCTACGACTAGTCTTAATCGCGTTGGCCGGTTTGAAAAGGAAACCTAGCGCTAGATACGTGGTGATCATGCTTTAACACTAGCAGGTGTCAGTTTCAATAATTTTACTATATTTGCGTATTAGTACCAAACTTTGTTTATCTATCTAAACGCGTTTCGTCGGAAAAGGCTTTACACCACTGTCTACAGCGAAACATAGTCTCATGTTCTACCGTTAGAAGTCTTTAGCACTGGGATCTAGGCCTGGCTATTTATGCAGATGCTGCTAATCTTCCCAGATGATTGTTTCAATCTAGAACATTCGGGCCTATCTGTTAATTCGAGTGCTGCATGCACTATGACTTCTGCTAACTTATATTGCGTCTTGAAACAACTCTAAGTATATAAACCAAGGTAATCAGCCTACTACTGAACTACTACCTGTCACACCCACAATCGCTTCTACGTTCCGTCCTCACTCTTTTAGCTTCAGTTAAACTACTTACTCTCGTTCTACAAGTCCAGAAATGCATTTCAAAAACTTCGCCGTTGCCGCTTTTTCGGCTTTCTTTCTTACAGGCACTGTCTCTGCCGCTGGAGGTGGTTGGTGCCACGAACGCGGCAACTGTTGTTACTCTTCTGGAGCAGCTTGTAGGCGTCAGGGTGGACTAGGTGTAGTACTCACTGGATTCTGCAATGAGGGTAGTTACGACCCCAGTCTTTGGACTTTGTGTGAAGACGTTAATGTCACTCGTAAACAATGCGTAAGCATGATTCATACCCCTACAGTGCGCATTCTATGCTAACAGATGCTTCTAAGGACGCCGACTGCTGCGACATTAAGACTGGATGGGGACGCGGTTGCCCGTAGTTGTAGTCTATCATTGTTCAATTCTACTACACTATGCTATTCATCGCATTGCTTTCTTATATAGACTGTAGTAGGCGGTGCTCAGTGTTCTGGCTCAGTCATATCTAAATCCAATGTACGAGCGCTGGGGACCAGCCGATGGTGCCGAATTCTCATTACTTTGGCTGAGCACAGCTGACGTGGTTATCCAGTGGGGACCTCACCACTATTCCGCTGCCATATCTCCTCCCATGCCTTCTGCGCTGCCTTCTCTCTTTATATGAAATGCTCAACTCTGGATAGATAGGCTATTAATCAAATCCATCTGATCCTTATCTCTGGCAATTACCCTTAGGGTCGGATCTTTACAATGGCTCTTTGAGATCTTGTACTATTTGAAATTCTCATTTTTCTATGCTCTGTCTACCGAATGGGTCTCAACTATAACGCCTAGTCAAATCTACTGTGGTTACGGTTGCTTCCCTTCTTACTGGAGTCTTATTTTCGGTGGGTTCTACAAGAGGTGAAGACATATTTCTATGTTTGTAAGTTGTCACGAAGACGCTACAAGTAGGCTTTTGAGAAATTACTAGAGAGTCTGAAATAAATTACTAGATACGGTCTCTAGGTACATACTGGAGGTAGTGTACAGGAAGGACCAAGGTCCAGTGAAGGCTTGATACTTCACAGCCTCGTCTTTTGTCCATCTTCTATCAGCATCCGCATCGGCTGGCTAGTCCCAGTATGCCAAGTTTCATCAGGGGCATGGAAAAGTTCTGCAGGAAGATATGAATACATTCTTAGCGAGCTACCTACACATTCACACAAACACACACGCCCTATTTCCAACGACTCTCAGCCCGCCTCCTTCATCACATGGCTCAACAATGTGCACCTCCAACTGTTTTGCCACTCGGTACAATGGAGTAAGGCAATTCAATTATGGTCTTGCCTGATTACGGCAGCTCGCGCGGAATTGGGCATTCCAGTTGCTGACACCAGAATTGTTGCCGCCAGCATTGCAGGCTCTCATGTCTTTATCGCGTTTGGCATTTAGACAAAGGGTTGAGCAATCTTGGCTCTGCCCTGCTCTGCCCTTCAGAGAGGAAGACTCAAGTCAGCTATATGTGTGTTTAGAAGAAGGGTTAAGAGACTCACATAGGTGACGCAGCAGTGCGAACTATCTGCGAATAAGCACTGGCAGACAACTTGCTGGGCTTGCACACCAACAGAGATGGTAAGGAGGAATCCAACGATAGAGAGGATGCGAACCATGATGATAGTGGTGTAAAGAATTCCGAAGGAGCTTATAGTTGATAGGAATGTGATATGAGGTAAGGTATTGGCGTTGATGTCTTTCCAAGCTACATAGAGGTCATGAAGTCTTTATACCACTCTCAATCTCTTAATTTCCAGTTTCTCAATTTCAAAGTGTTTCGCTTTAAGTCCTAATTTAAGTGTGATTTCGTTATATTGCTCAAATCTCAATAGTCTTCGCATAATACTTAGATGGCTAATTGGAGCTCGAAACGAAATTCAGTCACTAAAGACGAAACAACGATTGACTAAGAACAGCCAACGCGCTGCACTAACCGCATGTGTTTGTATCTGCTTATCGCAACTTAAGCCTGTTCTGTTTCTCCACGCAATGTCTTGTACTTGCACTAGATAGTGCTCCATCTAACAGAGTGCCACTGTAAAGTGGACTATCGAGACATTGAATTCATTCCACTTAAGCCCTTTGGCTGAGAGAAGTACATTTCTGAAGACGAAAGAGCAATATAATCACCGCCAAGGGCCCAATCTTTGTGTTCTATAGCAACTACAACTGGAATACCCATCTGAAAGAAGATTGATGTTAATTAGCCCATTCACAATTTGTTCGGCGATCAGGGCAATCCTAGAAAGTATTGCGACCGCTCCCACAACTGACCGTTAGTCACACGTTCGAGACTCGGAGCATTTAAAAACCACTAAAGTAGTTGAACGCCCTTACTAGCAGTCGCAAACTAATGCGCTGTCTAGCGTTATGCGTCGCCTTTTCTTTGTTTGAGCATTAAAATCATCTAACATGTTTCATAAGCGAGTGGCGCGTGCTGTATGTAGTTCGTCTGTGCAGTAGTTTAGCTAATGCAACACCCTACTGTTACAAGTAACAAAAGTGAGTCTCTCCTTGACGAGGGATAGAAGGCTGAGGGCCTATAGACTTCCAAGTTAGAAGGTGATAATTAACGCGGGTCGCTAATTGCGTGACTGAGCATCCCGCGAAGGCATGGCTTCAAGGAGGACACTGCATAAAGGGAGGCCAACATCCTCTTGAACCTTTTCCCTGCAACGATGTTAAGTCCTTACTTTTATGAGTGATTGTGACGTGCGGACGTAGTAGCTTTTACTATGTAGTAGAGTATCTAAAATCTCATAGCAAAAAGGTAACATGTTGTCAGACTGTGAGGGGTTTCTAATCAAGGACTTGTTTTTGGGTTACTGTGATAAAAGACTGTGATAAACTTAAGTATAGAAACTGAGTGTATTGAGTTGTTCTGTGTCCTCTAGCTGCGCGCATGCGCGCAGCCTTATGAGTGCTATTACTATTGCTTTTCTGTCTTAGGTACGCGGCTGAGTACACATCACACACCAACTTTTAAGCAGAAATCTTTCATCAAAACTCGTCAATTTTCTATCAGATATAGGGGTAACACGTCGCGAGAAACCGATTTACGCCACCTCTAATGTGTGCAGCCCTCTCGTTAAGGTGCTAGAGGGGGTATTGTTGGTATTCTTGCGACGTGTTCGAAATGCGAAAATCTTCGAGAACGCACAGACCGCCCTGATGACTAATAGGGAGACTACTAAACGAAACCGAAAACAATTATTATTATTATTGTTCCATTAGAGTCTAGTGAGCTCGAGGCTATGTAAGACTTTGGCCGAGGCCGTTCTAACTAG